TCACATCTACATCTGCTTCAGGCAGGGGAACCTCATTACTTTGAAAAAAAAACACTATGATTGTTTGGAGGTTGAATAATGTGAATAAGATATATTATTGTGTTATATGTAATCCTATGTGATTTGCAGTACAAAAAAAGTTTTTTTCATGCTTTCGAATGTCAACTTTTTGAACGAAAACAGTTGTGCTGCTTATTTTTGGATACATTTTTTAAAGATTCTTTGTTGAATAGAAAGTTCAAAAGAACAGCATTTATTTAAAATAGGAATCTTGTGTAACATTATAAAAGTCTCTAATGTCACTTTTTTATCAATCTAATGCATCCTTGCTAAATAAAAGTATTAATTTATTTGGGGAAAAAACCTTGCTAAGTAACCTCACACTTTTAAACAGTAGTGTAGTTATGTTTTAGCAACTACTATGCTCTCAAACTGTGCAATTTGTCACTACTCTTTATATAGTTTTCTCAATATTGCATCACCTGTTCTCTTCTTTAGTGCCAGAGACTCACTGCAGAGAGAGATGAGGCTGAGATGCAACTCAAGCACATTAAACGGGGTAAGATCAATTAAGTCATCTTCTGCTGTTTTTTTATTTCCATTTTTCATGCATTAAAATGGGAAGAAAAGTATTGCAATATGCAACATAGAGTAGATTCTGTTTATAGGTGCGGTCTGTAACTTGAATATCATTACTGTTACTGCAGCAAATTCATTTTCTGATCTTCTGTATTGACCAGAGGTCAACAATTAGCATCCTGCGGTCCAGATCCCGGCTCAATCTGGACCACAAATCCTTACTCACAAATGAATACAACATTTCTTCATAGCACCCCACTTAACCCTTGCAGGCTTGTTTTTTTGTGCTTTCAAGTCAAGTCAGAAAGATTGCAATAATGTCACCGGAAAGCCGTAATTACAAGTGAGAAACTTCTTTAAGCTCAGAGTTTCTGAGTTGTGTTCAGACGGTTTACGATACGGTTTAATCAACTGTATAGTTTTTAAAATGGATACTGAATGAAAACTACAGCTGTGCTTTACTATTTAAAAAAATAGTACTGAACCATACTTTGTAAAATAATAAAAGTCATAGTTCATTAAAGGGGTCATATGATGCGATTTAAATTTTTCCTTTCTCTTTGGAGTGTTACAAGCTTTTGGTGCATAACGAAGATCTGTAAAGTTGCAAAGACTAAAGTCTCAAATCCAAAGAGATATTCTTTATAAAAGTTAAGAGTCAACCACGCCTACCTAAAATGGCTAACACTCCCCCACATGTCTACATCACTATGTGGGAAGATTTGTATAACGCCTCCCAAATGTTCACGCAAAGAAAGAAGGCGTAACTTTTATTCTCGCTGTAGTATTGTTGCTGCCGCCATGTCGTGAAGGCGCTGTGTTTCGTTGTGAAAGAGAAAACTACTTTGTTTGGTCTTCCAAAAGAGGACGATATCCGCTTCATCATGCCTAGAGCTGATCCGTGCTGGTTGCTGAGGAAATCTCTGTGGATCACCGGATCGGCTTTCACCGTGGACGAAGCGGTGTCCAGCCCGGGGTCGTCACATGTGGTTGCCGCAAGCCCGCCGGACGCTCCTTCGTCGAATCCGCCGTGTGTGTGTCGAATCCGCCGGCCGCGCCGTTCTCAAACCGGCCTCCGCTCACTCAAGTGTGTGACGGTGTATTTCGTTGTGAAAGCGAAACTACTTTGTTTGGCCTTCCAAAAGAGGACACGACTAGAAATCAGTGGTTAAGTTGTATTTACAACACTGTTCCAGAACACTTCAACTCAAATATTCAGATGTGTGCAGTGCAACATTTCCGTCACACGCTTGAGGTATTCGGCCAATCACAACGCACTGGATAGCTGGAAAATCAGAGCACACCTCACTTTTCAGAACGATGAGCTTTGTAAAAATCGACGCGTTTCAGAAAGGCGGAGCATAGAGGAGAAAAAATAATGTACAGTATGGAAAATAATGTGTTTTTTTAACCTTAAACCGCATAAACACATTTCATTACACCAAATACACAAAATAATGTTCTTTTTAGCAACATCATATGACCCCTTTAACTAACATTAACAGAAGCAATAGACTATCGGTGCCAATTGCAAAACGGATCAACCAGTCGACCACTAATATTGATGTTAAATGTATGAAAATTTGTGGATTTATTTTATTTACAATAAAACTAAGTTGCATCTACAAAATACAACAGTATTATACAATTACGAGATAATGTAGTGATTAAATTTACAGCACCTTTATACATTTAATATAAACATAACAAAACAAAAACAGATTAATTCACATTCTTTATTTATCGTTTTGTAGAACAAAATCTTGCTGAACTGCTCTGACCAAGTGATTTGAACATGCCTGACATCGTAATTACAACTTCCCAACTCGTCAATACCAATTTCCCAGGAGGACTTGAATGCATCATTTCACTACCAAGCCAGGCCAAAAGTCTTAAATTCTCTTTGGTTTACACTTTAACCACATAATTCGAAAAAGGTTGTACAATAAGTGTATTGTTTCGTATTTGTGATGATTCTGGTGTCCATCAAACCTGAGTGAACTCAGTGAACTCCATACATCACCTTTTCACTCAGAGTAGGCGGTGAAGATGATCTCACTTGGCTCTTCCCACTAACTTGATGCTCGGTGTTGTCTTATCTCATTTCCGATCCCCTTGCCCTCACCCATATCATCATGACGTTACCTGGGGGCTCTTCTCAATGCTCCATTATTGTAGGTGTTAGCGCTTATTCCGGTCTCTATGGCTACCGGGAACTGACCGTGGAGATGCATTAGTGTTAAGGTGACCTTACCTGCTTCCATTCCATTTTGTGACATGTAAGGAAACCCAGCCTCGGTTACTAACTAATTTGTTAGCACTCTGACAACACTCCAGCGGCTGCCAGCTTTAGGAGCATAATCAGGAAATTGTTCACAGGTGAGAAAATGCTAATTTTTCTCTGCAAGATTAAAAATAGGGTTTCATTTAACATGGTTTTACTTGCTCATTAAAAGATGCCATTGCAATGTTGCTGTACTATATATATATATATATATATAGATATATATACATACACACACACACACACACACACACACACACACACAGCATTGTGGAGTATTGTTAATGTTTTTGAATGGAAATTCAACTCTAAGTATCTAGTTACGTGTGAAGAGAATACTAAAGAAAGCATATTTTACTTATTTGGGAAAACATTACAGATTCTCTCTGTTAGAGTCCTATTTATGATTCAGTATGAATATACTTTTGTATGTCAATTTGCATGTGATATTTCTCTTAGAAATTTATATCAAATTATCAATATCTAATTAACATGTTATATATGTAAAATTGTAGATATGATAAAGGATATCAGGATATCATTTTACCTGGAAGCCTGTTTTCATAAATAAGTTGGATATTGTGAATATTAGTTCACAATTTTGTAGTTGTAAGTGAATATTGTGATGAATCCGGTTTTATTTTTAGACTCTTTAGGCTTCTTTTTATTGGAGTCCTGGAATTGTCAGACATTCCCTAGGGAGGCAACGTAGACCAGGCTGAATTCAGCTCTCATCACTGTCTTGTTATATCAGTAAATTATTAAAAATCACCAATTATGAATTATTTATCAGTAGAAAATATATAGGCACCCGCTTTTCAACCTTCCATTGTTGTTCAAGCCAAACCCCTCATGCACTCTCATATCATTTCTGAAATGCAAGTCACCCTGAATATGAATTAGTGAAAATACATTCAATACGAATGCCTCGAAAAGCAAAATGCATGACGTTTTCACAATTACCTTGTGAGTTACGGTCAATTTTTGTACCACACTTGTTAATTTTTTTATGTAATGAAATGGCAGTGTATTTATTTTATAACCTCAGCCTCACTAAATGGCACAAATTCTTGCTTGGCTAACATGACACAGCAAATGTCACAGCAGTTTGGCCTAGTTGCTGTCATACAGGACAATAGTCTTGTGCTGGGTGCACGTGATTGGTCTGTGTTCTGTTTAATGATTGGCTGCTGCAGGGGAGCTGCTGTCGAGTATCTGGGAGGTACTGGATCTGCGTCTGGCAAAGCACCTCCTCTTTGGGACGCCTGAGTGAGCTTCATTAAGAATACCCTCTGCACTTATGCAAATTAAAACACAGGCCGTGTGTTAAGCTATCAGCCCCATTACTCAGCTTATTTACCTTTACACTTTACATATCTTACCGTTTATGGGTGGAAAGAGAGAATCCTTAATATTTACACTCTAAAAAATGCTCGGTTAAATATAACCAGCACTTGGTTAAAAAGGGACAAACCCAGCTATTTGGGTTGTTTTGACCCAGCGGTTGGGTTGTTTTGAACCCAACCGCTGGGTCAAAACAACCCAATGGTTGGGTTTGTCTCTTTTTAACCCAGCATTTTTTAGAGTGTAGTCTACACATCCGTCCTGGGTTTGGAGTATGGGTTTCAAGCGCAGGCACAATTAGTGCTGGAGTTGAGATTTATTAAAAGAGCTTAATCACTGTGATCAAAATTGGGACGGAAGCGCTTTAGACTAATGCCAGCCAAGGTTGTGTTAAAGTGGCAGACAAATGCTTATTTGAAGCAGTCTGGAGAGGATTCTGCAGCAGTTCTTTAAGCTTTTGCCTCTGTTCGACTGACTCCGCAGAGCCATATTTTGCTCGTACAGCATTAGGCGTGCTGGACTTGCTGACCTAGAATCTGCTCACAGAAGAAAGCCCAGAAGCAGGGCTCTCTCGGTCAGTCATTAGAAGCCAAATGAGTTGAGCAGATGAGTTTGGACTGATCTGCAAGGGAAAGAGGGAGCCACACCCCTGTTATTGTGCTGCTTTATTTTCATGGGCGGCACGTGCAAACTTGCACACCCTGACTCAGAATCAGTGAATGACCCAGATGTGCATAGACTGTTTTGCTTTTATTTTAACTAATAAATGCCAGGTCTGGTGATTTATCCAGCATTTAGGTAGCTGACTTTAAAATTTCAATCAGTTTCAGCAGTGTTTAGTGTTTGCGATTTTGGTTTAATACAAAGTGTATACATTTGTTTTTAGGGGTGTAACAATACACTGATGTCACGTATCAGTTCAATACAAGATACTGATCTCTGTTAAAAATGGTACTTTTTAAAAAATTATTACATATGATAAACAGTTAACAAAAAGTACTGTTCATTAAAATCATACATTTGGTATTACATCAGAAATGGACTTCATCCATCTTAGAAAAATACTGTTCAGCTTAGAAATACTAAATTATGTTACACACATATGATTGCACTTACTGACTACATACATTTAAGTTTAAAGAGCTTACATTTGATTAAATAAAGCTCAAATGTGTGACCTTCTGGGTTTACCATATTTGATGCCAAATTATATATTATATTAATTGAAATTTTTAAAAAGATTTCTCCTGAAATAATTTGAGAATTTTTATCATAAAGTTGAAATAATCTATATAATTGTTATTTTAGTTTATATTGTTTTTCTTTTGTACGTTGACTTTTTAAGACAAAATTGTTAAATTATTGTAAACGTTATATTGAAAGGATATTGATTGAGTTGATTGAGTGATGCAACTGAATTCTTTTTTGCCAAGAATATAGCCATTGATGCTGACATGGCATTAAATCATAAATAAATATATTTGATGCCAAATTAAATATCTCTAAATAACTATACACAGTTCATATTATCACTATCCAATATATACAGTGGGTACGGAAAGTATTCAGACCCCCTTAAATTTTTCACTCTTTGTAACTCGCGATGCCTTGAAAGTGGACAAAACCGGCTTTTTTGACAAAACGTGTTTAGGGTTCAGATCGCGCTATATGTGGAAAATAATGCACGGCAATCAGCTCTTTTTTTTTTAAGTGGCGTTTATCGGTTTTTGCAAATTAACTTTTCATATATATATATATATATATATATATATTTACTGTATACTGTATATTGTCACATTTTTTGTATTGCAATACACATTGTGACACAATATATTGATACACCGCTATTTTTTCATTAGTTCATATTAATTGAAAAATATCAACTGCTCTTTATCTACATTTGATTGCACAATGCACAGTATGCTTGAAGGCAATAGCAAGCATTATATGTTGGGTCAGTGGCTATGATGGATCAGTAAGCTAAAAAAAAATCGATGGAGCGCATATTTGGATGATTTCTGATATGCATTTCTCTTATGGACATTTGCATTACTGAATTCTCTTTTAGATTTCTGTTTTAAGCAAGAGCTCTGATAGCTGTTGAGAGCTGTGAACTTCACTTTGAACTGTCAGGTTATTCTCTCATTGACTCTGCAGATCTGCGCACTGCAGCACTGCAGCACTGCTGCCCATCCTGCATATTAACAGAAAAAATAAGAAAAATGTGCCTTAAACTGGCTGAATTTAAATAGTATTAATGTAATAGTATTATAGTAATTTATAAGTAGGGATGTAACTAGGGATTGAAAGTAGCTTTTTCACTCACCAGCCAATTTGGCTACTAAATTTTTAAGTTACCGGCCATTCATAACTTCAACTAGCCAAAAAAAAAAAAGAGACAGAAATAAACCAACAGTTTGAGGCTGTCTACACTGGGCGGGACAAAGCGACCGTTGCAAATCATTTTGTGTCAGTACTAGGAGTGTGCAATATTGACAAAAAATAATATCTCAATATTTTCTGGGATTTTATCGATAAAGATAATTAGACAATATTTTGCTGAGTGTGTTATTGTGCTGATATCTTAAGGACTACCGTGGACAGCTGACTCCTAAAGTTTTTGATATATTTCATATTTTGTGTGGTCAGTTCACAGCAGTGATAGAAATTAAGCTTTTCCAATAAATTTAAATAAAGTTAAAACTAAAGCCTGTGTTGGTTTACTCTAACCAGACTTCATCACGTCGCGTATGCGTGCCTCTGTAGGTGTGTTTTGTTTGTTTTTTGCAATATACTCGATAATGTCATGATGTTGTAGCGAATCAGCTCATGGGGAAATATGAATAATTAATCATAACTAGTTATAATTAATTATAAATATTTAGATCCGCTGTAGATATTTACTTGACCTCTCAGGGTCAACTGTCTTGTCAATTCTAAGAACGTTAATTTCCTGGTTAAGGGAAATATTTTTCTTACTGTACAACTCTACACAGAGCCTGTAGCATAAATCTGCATGATTAGGGACTCCAGTTATGAGCAAACAATGAACAACGTCAAGTGTGATACAAGTAAGACTATTAACTACATAAACACTTAAACTAGTCTAACATACTACATAAAAACTGAAACTTGTCTAACATACACATATACACACACACACACACACACACACACACACACGGATACAGTTGGTATAGGAAAGGGTTAAAGCTTAAGCACTAAAGAGCAGAGAAATAAAAATATGAAGTTATGGAACCATTTGATATTCAGCAGATTTACAACCTGAAGGAAACATCAGATTCTTAGTTGTAAAAAGGTGCGTTATGATACTTAATGTATCAATTAATAAAACTAAGTTTGAATACTTGCACGTCTCGTCTGTCTGAAAGAGAGGCTTGATGCAATCTGAAGGCTCACGTTGATCTTTGCTGAAGTTGGTTGATGGAAAAAAAACAGTTTGCGTCAGAGATTCTTGGTGAATGGAAAAGTCACAAAACTTAGGGTGTCCTGGAGCATTGTAGCTCACATTTTCACATTTTCATCTTCTCAGAATTCAACCAAATCACCGACTCCGGGGCGGGTCACTGATGTGAGGCCTTTAAGGTCTGAGAAGATTCACGCCTCTCAAGATCCATTTCTACTGTGCACTGTGTCTTTCCTATGGAAATTGTAGTGAGAGGGGTAATTCTCAACATGCCATTAGGTCGTAAATGTATCTGGTCTAGCAAAGGTGTCATGGTTGCCATGGGGACCAGGGGGGGCCTGGTGTCGTTGCAGACATCCTAGCACCCAGTATGTTTATTGGGTGAGGGGTCTGTGAATGTTTGTTAATCTAATGAATAATTGATTTGTTAAATCAAATGAAAAATCTTGTCTGATTGGTCCAGACGCTACAATGTCTCATGAGTTCAGTATTTGCACTAAACCAGTGCAGATTTGGCTTACATGAACTTCCCCAAGAAATGAACGAGTGTCAAATGAAAAATCTTGTCTGATTGGTCCAGACGCTACAATGTCTCATGAGTTCAGTATTTGCACTAAACCAGTGCAGATTTGGCTTACATGAACTTCCCCAAGAAATTAACGAGTGAACATAACTTATGAAAAGTAACCCGCCAAATTGGCTAGTGATTTAATTTCAGGTGTTAATTTCAAACCCTGGATGTAATGATTAACCGCGAGCCGGTTGAAAATTGATTTAAATATGTGACGATTCAAATCGGTTGAGATGCTAAACAAATCACGATTCAATTAGGGGTAGGAGTTTATATGAATGTATGTCTGAGGGGAACTTACTGTCTTTCGATGGTATTTTTTCTTTTCCTCTTGCCTCTGTATAACGCATATTAAAATTAATAAATGCAGCGCTGCTTTGTTTACAGCGGAGACCTAGGAAATGCTTTAAGCTCCATCTGCTGGCAGAGAGTGAACCTGCGTCTCATTCAGCTCATCTGCTGTTTCTGTTTCATGCAGATATTTTTTATGCATAGTTTCACAAAACTGAAGTCAACCCATTCTGTTTTTGCTTCAAATTTCGAAATTATACAATGTAATTTAGATTAAAAACTGCTCATGTTGCATGTATGCAGCATCTTTGTTTGGATCAAGATTAAAATGCAGTGGTTGCCTCTAATTTTAAATGGAAAGAGCACAGACAAATTTGTTTATATGAAGAGATTTCTTTTATTTGTTGTGTTTTACTTGTTTTAAAATTTAAATTTAGTTTTGTTAATTACATTTACATTATATTTAAATTTTGTCATTTAGCAGACACTTTTATCCAAAGCGACTTACAAATGAGGACAATAGAAGCAATCAAAACCAACAAAAGAGCAATAATATGCAAGTGCTATATTAGTTTATTATTATAGTGTTATATTTCAATTTCACAAAGAAACGTACAGTATTTTGTCCAAGCAATAATAAAAGGACACATTTAATTTATAATTTGTCTTAAATCTCATTTTGTTAAAAAAAATCGTGAATCGAATCGAATCGTGAAATCAAAATCGTGAATCGAATCGTGAGTTGAGTGAATCATTACATCCCTATTTATAAGTATTATATGCTATTCTACGAGCTGTTTTAACAGTTTGATCCGTGTTTATTAATTATGATCAACTTTTGCATATTAATTTTGCATGTTTGCTTTTTTCTGTTGTCAAATGTCTAATATGATGTGATATCAGAATCATGATCACCCCCTGAATAAGGGGTCAAAGTGAGGTCATGCATTAACTACGACCTGCTTTCCATTCTCACAATGTACAGTATGTTGCCAAATGAAAAGAAAATGAGGAGGGTTATTAATTCTGGGGAAGGGCTCGAGGGCAGGCCGTTGATGTACTTTGCTGTGACTGCATGTGGAGAGACGCATCGTTCCTGCATAATTCAACAGCCTTTCATGGAATAATGTATAAGAAACTACCTCTCTTGCTCATTTCCTGTGAAAAGCACAGACATAAATGATGCATTACCAATATTTTGTCTCATACACATATTATTATGTAATATAAAAAAATCTATCGTTTTCATTTTACCACTTTAAAGAGCTGCTGAAAGTTTGCATTTTTTTAAATGCTATTTGTATGTATTTTAGAAATAGTGCAATGCACCAATGACTTGATCAGGAGTCTGTTTGGTGTGAGCTGCTCTGGCATTGCTATGACATCCAATCCTGTATTTGAGAGGCCAGTGTAGTGTATAGAGTTACCACGCCAGTGCTTTGTAACGACAGTCCATCAATGTTACCCAAAGTGTTGGGAAATGGTCCCTATTGTGAGTGTGTAACTGATAACTGTCCATCTCATTGGACTCTGGTAATGTTTCACTGATAACAAAACCACATCTAAATGAAAATGTACTTTTTACTGTTTTTATAATCCTTGTTTTATATGCTGTTAATGAATCAAGTCATGTCATATATTTTCATATGTGCCTCATTTCTGTTTTAATGGCTCATGCAACACAGTTTTTTCCTTTTAAATGTATTTTATACATTAAAACGCAACCCTTGTGAATCATTTCTGTGCTTCTGGATTTGACAGCCCCCTCATGAACTGTGTAGGAGGTAGCTTGACGTTAACTTCAAGAAATTCTGTAAAAGATATAGCTGATACTTACTGTATATCTAAAACATGTATAGAATCTAGATTTATATCTAAATGATTTAGATTTAGTTCCTGCATGATGGATTTCACTGTAAATATGACCTGAAGTGCTTTAAGTTGCTCATAAATGCATCTGATTTCTCTGCACAGTTTCCCAAATGGTGATCGAGGAGGTGAATGTGCTACAGACCCAGCTCGAGATTGAGAAATCGTGCCGGGAAAATGCAGAGGCTCTGGCTACCAAGGTGTTTACCCAACAACACTGTCCCCGTTTCATTAGAAAACCTGGTAGCACTTTACAATAAGGTTCCATTTGTTAACATTAGTTAACTACAATAGTTAACATAAACTAACAATGCATCACTTAATTACTTAATGCATCAACTATAGTTAACAAAGGGAACCTTATTGTGAAGTGTAACTGACAATCTTAATGATCTTATCAGTTTATTTCTGTTTGTTGACATCTTTCCTCTTATATCCGTCATATATTTGTTTACTATAAAGCAATATAAGTATGAAAAAATCAGTCAACATGGTTATACAGTAAGTGTTGAACACGAATAGAGATCTTTTGCAGAATGTACTGGCTGTGAATTTGAACTTGAGATTCAGATTAATCTGATTCATAAATTAATCTTTCAGAACATTTTTGTTAAATTTTAGCACAATGTAAAATAAATAAATACAAATCTGTTAAATATACTGTAGGGTCAATAAAAAGCAGTTGTGGTGTACCAGAACTTTACCATGAGAAAATGGGAGCAACATTTGAAGTTTTACAGAACTGAATTAAATTTACGGTAAAAAACACATATTTAATTAAGTGAAATGGTAATATGCCAAATTACTAAAATCAGTATTTTACTGTTTTAAAAACATAGTTATTTCAATGAAAACCCATCTAATGTGAGCAGTCAGAGAATCAGTGTTAGTTTTTTTTCTGTAAATTCAAATGTATTTTTTAAACAATATTTTACTGTAAAATTACATGAAATGTCCCATTAGATCTTGTTACAGTTTTTCTCTGTATTTAACCATTTAACAGGTTTTTACCGTATTTTACAGTCTTTTACTGTTAAAATTACATTCTTTTTTTTATAGTGCAAGCATAGCTATGGCAAATGGCAAACTTCAAATAACACTAATTTAGGGCGTTAATAATTTTGTTTTGACCTCTTTTAGTTGAACTGTGAGAACAGGAAGCTGAAGTATTTGAGCCTGTCCTCACGGCCGTGTCTGGACGAGCTGCTGCCCAGTATTTCTGACTGCATTTCCCTAGAAGAAGAGACTGACACGCAAGATCCTGGCTCTGATCCTTTTTCACAGTATAAGCAGCAGGTCAAAGGTATATATCATAATGAATCTCATAAAACTATGCACAGTTTCCTTGGCCAAGCATTCTGTCATCATATATATCAAGGGTACGTCCATTGCAACCTCTGATTTTTCCACAGATCTCCAAGAAACCGTGAGTTCTTTGCTGGAGGAGAAGAAGCAGTTGACCTGTCAGCTTCAAGATCAGCAGAGGCAGATAGAGGAGCTGACAGCACTCGTGAGTAGCAAAGCAACATTTAAACTTTATACTCAAATCGAGCTCAGTCGGGCCTGATGGCAGTGAATGGGGGCTTGGACTGCAATGTGTGCTATTTTAACCTGTTAATGAATAATAAATAAGCTTGAAATGAATCCTTAGAGACCTGCGGTATTGCTGATCCTAAAAGGATACCGAAGTAACAATGTCTAATTGAGTTTCTTAGCTGAAACATGTGCCTCATGTTAATTTACAGACTGAAAAGGAGCAGGCCGAGATGAAGGAGCTTCATAAAACCATTGAGCAGCAAAGCAAGACCATTAAGAGGTTCAATAGGGGTGAGTACGGACGTTATAAACGCAGAGCCGCTTCATTTCCTCAAATGTATTCAAATGCATGAGCATGACATCATCTCAAACGGCCTGCAGTGCATCTGTGCAGTGCATCTGTGCATGTGCCTTCCAAGAAGATTAATGTTCCCCACCAGCCCACTCACTACCGGCTGCATGTCACAGTCCCCGATCAAATTATCTGTAAAAGATTCACCACAGGAAGCCCCTCTCTTCCAGCTGGGGGTGATGCACTTTGTTTTGACATCCTCCCAGCTCCCTCTTTGCTCATTTGTGTTGTTATTCTGAAACTGCATAGCTCAAGTCAAATGCTGCACTGGCTTATGCTGAACTTGTCCTGCACATGCTCACCCTTTAGTGGATTTAATTTTGTTTTGTTTGTTTTAATGACAATTTTGCCAATGGAATTTGATGGAAGTAGCCATGATATAAAATAGGTGATATATGCAGACATGTGACTATATATTAGTTAAGTATATATACATATAGCCTATATTTTTGTGTGAAGTCACATTGTTATTTAGAGCTTGGAACCAAGAATTAGTTCTTATTTTGAACCAGTTTTTGTTTTATATGCAAGAATTCCATGACAGTGAAGAGACAATACCACCAATTTCTATTATGAGCTGGTTCTCAATATATATATATATATATATATATATATATAATATATAATTTTCAGCATCATTACTCCATTCTTCAGTGTCACATGATCCTTCAAAAATCATTCTAATATGCTGATTTGCTGCTCAAGAAATATTTCGTATTATTATCAATGTTAAAAACAGCTGTGAGGCTTAATATTTCTTTGAAAATATTATTCCGTTTTTTTTCCAGGATTCTTTGATGAATAGGAAGTTCAAATGAACAGCATTTATGTGAAATAGAAAACTTGTAACATTTAGGTTGTTGCCTGTAATACTGTCTTTTATAATATTTTTTTTGTATAATACCCTAAAAGGATTTGACCAGGTTTATTGCTTTAGTAGAATGAATCAGGTGTCATTGTTTATCTCTTTAGTGTCTATGATGGCCACTCATGAGTATGAAAACATGAAGGAGCAGCTGGATTTGGAGCAGAGCCTCAGGCAGAAAGCAGAGACCTATGCACATGAGGTACAGAACAAAACACATCTGAATTCACTGCATCAATACAGCTTAAGTCCCCGCTCTGACAAACTGTGACCCGGTGACCTCAAAATCCAACCTAAAGAGAAGATAAATGGATTTATTGACTGATGAGTATGAATTGTCCTTGACTCCCTGCATCAATGTAGTATGTTTAATATCTCTTAATAGCTAAAGAAGAAAAATTAAGTTGTTTCCTAATGTTCATTTTCCCCTGTAGATGATGGTGAAGCAGAAAGAAGCAAACAGACAGAGCATGATTCTGCTGCAGCAAGCAGATCCCAGCATGCAACTGCTCAAAGCTTTAGAAGATGTGGCCAGTGTGACCAAAACATTAGAAGAAGAGAGAATACAGCACCAAGAGAAGGTAGGTGAAGCTTCACAATTTGAATTTGAATTGTATGTGCAAAACTATAGTATAGGTTTTCAGTTTTATTAGCTAATGATAAAAAAAAAAAAACAGTGAAAGTGTAACCCTGAACAATGAACACAATAAGCCTAATCATTAATTGCATGATAGGATTAGACAACTACTAAACCCCTTTTCAGTGTGTTTAACATTGTCAGCTAGAGGTTTTCATAGACTTAAATCCTTTCATAAATATTAATCCTCTAATACTCGTTGTTTTTTTTACTCACTTAATTATAATATTCAATAGCCACACAAATCCAGTTTAATTAGGCACTAAATAGCGCTGTGCATTCATCTGACTTACCTAATGTTAATCATTAAACGTGTTCTAATAATGTAATAACCTTCAATAAATGTAATCTTCAGGAAATCTCAAACAGATCATTTTATACCCTAAATTAATGCCAGAATTCAATTGCATTTAAATGACTGGTTTTAGTTTTTAGTGCCAGATTTAGTAACCAGCACAAACCCTACTGGCAGGATTTACTAAACACATTCAGTGATAAATTAGTGATGAAAAGACGTGGACACAATTATTTTTACGGCTGACCTTATTGCATATGCATTTGTAGGAGGACAGTATTTAAATGAATCATGAAAAGTGATTTACTAAGGTTTGCGATAGACACGCTTCAGCACCCCCAAGAAAGACCAAAGCACCCCCAGAGCACCCCCCAAAAATGAAATAAAATCAAAAGCATTTGACTCATAACGCATGCATAACTCATGCAATGCAACGTGACGTGATTTGCAGTTGCACTTTTTATAATGTCATAGCATTTTACTTTAAAATTGGATCGTTTCCTTTTGCCAGGTAGGCCTGCCCCCGACTAAAGATTTTTCTAGTCAACTAGTCGCACGTTTATATTAAATTGATTAATATAATAATTACTAAACCATCCTTTAGGCATATAGGCATGTATAGCCTATTCCGTGCCCAAGCGCGTGCATAAAGCTTCCCACAAAGCACCGGCAAAAGTAATGATTATGAATATGCCCGTGGAAAATAAGATATTTTAATTATTTATTAATAAACTAGTGCTTTCTCAGTCAGTGTCAGCTGCAAAGATGAAGTTGCCGACGCGGATTCGTCATCTCCACATGTAATGGAAATGCCTTTAAGAAATGCACCTTTGATTATACGGACTACATAGAGAATATTTTTATTATTATTATTGGTTCTTCAATAGTAGACATTTCGAGATTTTTTTTTCATAGATTTCATTTTTGTGAGGCAAGTAGCGGTTCATTGTTGTGACGCGCTCCATTTCACAGAGACGGGCAGAAAGCGCATCCTGTTTATTTTCTCTATTTTACAAAAGTTCAACATTTTGGTGTTATTGTGAGTGTACATAAATAAAAGCAGGAATAGTTTTTTACGAATGATGAAGCCTATTAGGCTACTCTTATCTGTATGACCAAAAATGACGGAATAGCCTAAAATGCAAGGGATTGCGGGGGCGCCTGCATGTCATGCAGTAAACGCGATAATACTCCCACACTTCTCATAAACACTTGATATGCACATCTATTGCACATATTAATCTAAATTAACGTCAGAGGGAACCGCCATATAGCAGCCCTACTCCTTTGTCCTTTCCATATGTGAGAGATCATGTGAGAGATCTTTGTCCTGTCTGCTACACTACACTCTCAGAAAAAAAGGTACAAAAGCTGTCACTGGGGCGGTAACTTTTCAAAAGGTACACTTTTGTAACTTTTAGGTACTAATATGTACACTTTAGGTACTAATATGTACCTTTAAGGTACCAATATGGACTGTTTAGGTACAAAGGTGTGCCTTTTGAAAAGGTACCGCCCCAGTGACAGCTTTTGTACCTTTTTTCTGAGAGTGTATAAGACATATCTGAGAAGCAGCTGTGGCGATGCCCAGCAGCTTGCCACATTGGTCATCAATACACAGAGAGCGAAGGCTCTAGTTTGAGACAAGTATATCCCCAGTGCTTTTTGATGTCATATTGCCTTTGACTCACATTCTGAAATAATGCTTGTTCAGTGAATTTTAGGTGGACTGTACAAAAATATTTGGGAACTGACTGATCTATAGGGTACTTGTTTAATTTCATAAAACAAAAAATTTTAATTAAATTGTGATGAACCAAATAATCATGTAATAAAATGTCACAAAATCGAGTGGGCGATTTAGGCTATTTTATTAATGATAATGATAATAACAACAACATATTTTGGTCATATTTACTATTAATTGCCCAGCTCCCCCTGTCAATGATCTAGCACCCCTTCAGCACCTGCGTTCAAAATTCTCTGGCGCTGCCCCTGAATACAGACGATACATCCATTGTGTCCGACATGTTTTTTCCACTGACACATGCCTGATTTTCCTACTCGTTTGACCTGTGCATTCAACTCGTAAATACACTTTTCCCGACTTGAACTCGCCATACAGTATGACCCATTTGTTTGCAGGTAAAAGCTCTAGAGGCTGAACTGGAAGAATGTGCTTTGCGTAAGCAGCTAGTTCAACTGCAAAGACAACTGGAGATATTAGACGAAGAAAAAAAAGAGACCGAGGGACAACTGCAGGAGGAAGAGAAGAGAAACACTCTTTTGGAACAGAAAGGTAAAACTTAGGATGACTTTAAAGTAGGGCTGCAAAACGATTAATCGCATTCTAAATAAAAGTTGATGTTTACATACTATATGTGTGTGTACTGTGTATATTTGTTTTGTATATATAAATACACACACATACATACATATATGTATACTGTATATATATATATATATATATATATATATAATATATATATATAATATATATATACTATATATATATAGGAAAATATGTTAGCTTTATATATTAAATATTTATATATAATATAAATACAAG